TACACAGGAAATGCATGTCAGTCTGTGCTAGTGCTAGGAAAAGGAGAATGTGCTAATGAAGTATTAAAGAAACCAGTTCATGTACAGAATGGACTAAACTGCCCCAACCCCCACTCCAGTTTTGGAGACAAATTCTTTCTACATAGCCCTGGCTGTTTTGGAACTCACTATGTAGATTAGGCTGGCCTCAAACTCAGAGATCCAACTGCCTCTGCCTCCCAAGTGCCAGCAAACTGACTTTTAAAATGCATTCATGGAGTTGGAGAGATAGCTAAGATTAAGAGTACTTGCTATTCTTGCGGAGGACATAGGTTGATTCCCAGCACCCACATAATGGTTCACAGCCATCTGTAACTCCATCTCTATCATTCTCATCTTACCTTTGTGGACACCAAGCAAGCACATGGTGCACATACATACATTTAGGCAAGATAAAAATAGAAGTTAATCTTAAAAGTTTTTTATGCATCTATATACACAGGGAAAAAAATCAAAAGATAACTAACAATGATAGCAATACTCCCACCTCTAGCAGGATGACTTATCCTTTTCCACTTTATTACATTTTCTTTACAGTGTAGAAATAGCTTTTATTATTTTTATAAATAGATAAATCATACTGTTTATTATTTTTAATAAATCATTTTAAATAAATTTTAAAGAAAGAAATCATATTTTCTGATAAGATAGCACAAAAATTCAACTGTTTGCTAAGCATGATTTCTGCGAGTTTGAGACCAGTCTGGTCTACACAGTTCTAGGACAGTCAGCACCACATAATGAAACCCTGTCTCGAAATAAAAACAAAAAGCTACATAAAGGGGGCTGGAGAGATGGCTCAGAGGTTAAGAGAACTGGCTGGTGTTCCGGAGGTCCTGAGTTCTATTCCCAGCAACCACATGATGGCTCACACCCATCTATAATGAGATCTGGTGTCCAGAACACTACATATATAATAAATAAATTAAGAAAAAGCTACATAAAGAAACCCTGTCTCAAAAAAAACAAAAACATAAAAACAGAACAACAAAAATCAACCATGTCAGACTTAACTATTTTGAAATACAGAGTGATCTTAAACTAATTCTCTCCAAAAGGCTGTTTCCACAATTTGTCTACAGTAGCCTTCCCAGCTAAGGGAGGTCACTGTTCCTTCTAGAAACTTCACAGGCATATTAACTTGTAGGGCCTCTTGAGGCTGCCCCTGAATCCAACAAGTGTTGATCAGACTTAATTCCCAGGCATCCTTGTAGAAGACCTGGTTATCTTCTACAAAAAGCACACCCTAAAGATAGGCCTTCCACCAACGGTTTAACATGAGCACGACCACACTACTCATAGATGAACCCAAGATGAGTCCAACATCAAATACTGAATGGAAAAGACACCTGCACATCAAGAACGAATGCGGCAGGGTACATGTGTAAGAGGGAGAAGGAGAGCAAGCTACAATAGGCAGCTAATGTCCCCTTGCAGCTCTGAAATTCTACTTACAATGTAAAAAGAGAACATCACCAAGATTATAGTCCTGGGTATAATTTAAATATACCTGAAGTTATTTGCTTGAATATAACTTTAAAATCTAATTCAGATGAAAGGAAATGACCCTTATCACAGTCATCTAATTATGTCACTATGCCCCCCCTCCTAATAAACTAGTTTACTGAAATAACTCCAGTGAAAGCTGTTTAAAACATGAAAGGGTACTATTCAATTTAATTAAAAGTTGGCTGGAAAAAGATTTCTTTTGTAACGTAATTGCACACTTGGCTGTATTCCCACTGTTTAACGGGCTAACAATTAAGCAGTGTCAGAAGATACTCTCTTAAAATAAAGGTGCATATGGAGGTCTCAAGGAGCCGTCAGTCAGCACTGTGTGAACAGAGAAGCCGAAGCATTTTCTGCCTGTCCCTGCAGAGTGTGCTCTTGGCTCTCAGCAGTCTCTCCCAGTCCCCAGACATTTAACAGGTACCAGCCAACCACAGATTGTGCCACCAAACTTCCTACTCTCCTCATTTTATCTGAAACACATTTTCTTAAGGGGGAAAAAATACCCATTGTCAAAATTAATAGAGCCTGAGTTTGGAGAGATGACTCAATGGTAAAGAGCACTTGCTGCTCTTCCAGAGGATGGGGTTCTATTCCCAGTATCCTCATTGCTCACAATTGTCTATAATGCCAGTTCCAAGGGATTTGATGCCCTCTTCTGGTCTCCTCAGGCAGTGGTGCACACACACACACATACAGGCAAAACTCTCACATACATCAAATAAGTAAATAACAATAAAAATGATTAATAGGACTGGTCAGACAGTCCCATGGGTAAAGACACTTACTATGCTAACCGGATGACCTGAGTTTGATCCCTGGAACCCCCATAAATTTGGGTGAGAAAAGAGAACCAACTCCACACTTGTCCTCTGACCTCCACAAGTGTGCTGTGGCACATATGCACCTATACATATCCTACATACATGGGTTTGTGAATCAAAACAGACTGCGCCACTAGGAAAGAAAAAGCAACTCATTTCTCAGTTTTTTAACCTGCCTCAGTCTGTCACCTCCCAAAATCTGAACTTCTTAGAATTTCAGATCACTGGTTCTGAACCCATCTATACCACCTCAGAAAGAATACAGTAATTAGCAATCAAGAGTTGCTAATAGGGGGCTGGAGAGATGGCTCAGCAGTTAAGAGCACTGGCTGCTCTTTCAGAGGACCCAGGTTCAATTCCCAGCACCCACATGGCACCTCGCAACTGTCTTTAACTCCAGTTCCAGGGGAGACAACACCTCAAAGAGACAGACATGCATGCAGGCAAAACACCAGTGCACATAAAATAAAAATAAATACATAAATCATTAAGAAAAAGTTGCTAATGATGTACAACTTCCTCCCCAAAAGAAACCACTAAAACCACTCCTTGAAGGACCTGGGGGGAATGATCCAGGAGGAACGAGGACTTGAATTCAGATTCCCAAAATTCACACAAAAAGCTGAGCACGCCAGTGCACACCCACAACCCCAGCACGGGGAGGCAGAGACAGAACCATCTCTGGGGTGCACTGACCAGTTCAGAGTCCGTGTCTCAAAAAACTAAGGAGGTGCACGAACAATGAGACTTCTATAGAGGTCTGGCCTCCATATTCAAGTGCACACACACACACACTTCCCCTTCGGGAAGGGCGGTCTACCGTCAGACTAGAATCAAAGAATATATGGACATGATGGTAACAAGAAAAAAGAAACTGACTAGAAAACACCCTCCTTCATTCCTAAGTGACGGGGTTGGGGGGAGCTGCCAACACTACATCACCTTTTTGAACAGCAACAGCCAACTCTTGCTTATGCAGGATCCTAATGCTTATGCGGGGTCCTAATGGGTACGAGTGCAGCTCAGCCACGTCCCAGAAAAAAATAAAATAAAACAGCTCTGGGGCCAAATGTGTCACATACTAGAGGATAAAATTTCCGTGGCAAAGAGTGTTCCACATAAATGGAGGTGGGAGGGATGTGGGCTGTTATACAATGGAATATCTTTTATCCATAAAGAGGATGAAATCTGATTCATGCTACAACCGTAAAAAAAAAAAAAAAAGTACTGATTCATGCGACAAGATGAATTCTGGAAATAGGGCACCAAGAAACCAGGCACAAAAGGCTACGCGTGACTCCTGACGATTCCCATAAGGCAAATAGAAGGAGACAGTACATGGACACTGACGACAACAGGGTCCCCGGGGGCTCGGGAGTGGTTCTCCAAGTGGCTTGTGGTGCTGACACTGAGCAGTAACACTTACGTGACCCTGTGATAACTAACGGTAAAGGAGGTGTGGAGGGGCATGTTTTTAACTCCAACACCAGAGGCGGAAGGAGGATCAAGAGCTCAAAGCCAGCTTGAGCTATAATTAGACTTTGTCTCAAATACTATGTTTTTTCCCCCCGTGTAAAAAGTAGTCGTGCAGATTTTAATGGAAGGAACTGCTTTTCTCTCCGTCCGGCTTCTCTTTCGCTTCCTAATCTAGAGGCTGGCACCCAGGATCAATACCTTCAAGTGTTCCTCCTGTCACCTCAAAACGCCACTCGGGAAAAAAAAAAACAAAACAAAACAAAACAAAAAAAACCTACAGTAAATGCCAATATGAGCCTTAACGTGCACGGTAACGTGCACGGACCTGCAGGCCCGTTCCCTGGGGCTCGCAACCGCAGGGCCCTGCAGAGGAGGGCGGCGCGTGCGCACCGCGGCGCGCAGGCGCAGGTCAGGCCGCCGCTCCGCCTGCTCCGGGCGAATTTCTGGCGAAGCCACAGCGGTGGCCGGCGGCCCCCACGCGGGGGAACGAGCGGCCGGGCCTAGGGCGCGGCCAGCTCTCGCCCGCGGCCGGCTGACGTACCTGCGTTCGCCTCAGGCTCGAGGTCGGCGGGCCGAGGGGAACGGCGCCTCCGCCGCCAACACGCCTTGACTCTCCATTCGGGGGATGTTTACTCGCAAGTCTCGCGAGACCACGCCGCTGAGGTGGGACAGGAGCGGCGGCCTGGCGTGCCCCGCGCGCCCGCGACCTGCGTGCGCGCTCCCGACGTCCGGGCGCCAGAGGTGAGGCGGTCCAGAGATCTCGCGACATTTGCGGCCCTGGGGCAGAGCGAGGTCGAGTCGCGCTCTAGCGACGGGGGAGACACCGGGTATTATGGTGGGCGGCGGCCGGCTTCCTGGCCTGCAATGTGGGAAAAGGGACCTGCCGTTGCGAGCGCAAGCTCCTGAACTACGTCGAACTACGTCCATAGCCCTGTTGGACCCTAGCGTCCAATCACAGAGGAGGAGGAGGAGGAGGAAGGAGGAGGAGGAGGAGGAGGAGGAGGAGGAGGAGGAGGAGGAGGAGGAGAGGAGCAGAAGGGAGGGGTGTCTGGGGTTTGTTCTTTAATTTATGATTGGTTTATTCAAAGGGCTATTACCAATAATTGGCTGGAGAGTGGTTGCCAGAACAGATGAGGTAAGGAAAAACTTTTGAGGGTCACTTTGCCCCTTTCCCAGGGCCTAAGTCAAAACATCAGTCACTGCGTCAATACCTAAGGGTTATCTTGCTCCTATTCAATAACTGAGTTCTATTTGGAGAACATTCTCAAGGACTCAGGGAGATGATGGAAAGTTCCCAACATTTCAGTATGTGTGTGGGCAATTGTTAGGTCCTTGGTTCCCAGGGGTGAAGGGGGGAGCATTACTGCTGAGACTGAGAGTTGTCAGCAATGGCTTCAGAATTGTCTTAAAGTTCTACAGCCCCAGCCTCGTGGCCAGGGTCTATGGATCCTGCTAAATTACCCATCATGACCCCAGCGCCTGAAGGCCTCCAGTGGCCTGGGTCTGTGCACCCACCTAAACTAACACCATTGCTGTTGAGATGAACCAAATCTATATGTTCTCCTAAACTAGCCCGTGGATCCAGCAGCCGGGATGGCCTCTGATGACCCGGTTTGTAACTACTGCCGGGGCTGTCTGCACCTTGGAAAACAGGAAGGACTTTTATAAGACCAAATATTTACCGTTTTGAACAAAACAGCCAGGGTGAAAGTCTGCCTGGCAAAATGTAGTAGGATAGACCTAGTCTCAGCCTTAATTTAGTACTGAGTTGGACCACAGTTGGCCCTGGCACAGCCTATGCGTAGACAGCCAGCATGCTTGGGTGATGTGACTGAACCGGATAAAAAAGGATGGAGGCTACAAGCCAACCTAGAGTCCCAGGCTCACACCCTCAGGAGATGGGCCTTGACTACCAAGCCTGGTGTAGAAATTGGGTTGTTCATTGGAACCAGTAGCTGAGCAATTTTCTGAAAGAGGATCTGGAGCAGGGTGCAGAGGAGACCCCATGCAGAGCTCCTTGTGCTTTGCTCCTCAGGTGCTCCATCAGAAAGTTCAGTTTGGAAGCGAGAGAGATGACTCGGCCGTTAAGAATTCACATAAACCAGGCATGATGGGGCACACCCTTAATCCCAGCACTCAGGCAAGGCAGGTGGATCTCTGGGTTTCAGGCCAGCCTGGTCTACAGAGCGAGTTCCAGAACAGCCAGAGCTCTGTCTCGAAATACTGTGTGTGTGTGTGGGGGGGGGGGTGCATGTAAAACGGCACACTACTCTTGTAGAGGACCCAAGTTTAGATTCTGCAGCCATATTAGGCAGTTCACAATCTACCTGTAACTCCAGCTTCAGGGGATCTGATGTTTTGGGCCTTTGTGGGCACCTGTATTCCTGTGCACATGCGCATATAGACATACACATTTTTTAAAGGCCTTCTTGAGGCAGACGTGTGGTCTGCAGATGTAGCCCCACACCTTGAAAACATAGTGAATTTGTTCCCAGGCTCCAGCATATCCCATCCTGCGTGAGATGCTGTGCAGAGACCCTACTGCCTGCCCACTGGCAAGCACTTCAGTCTTGCTCTCCTGCAGTACTCCCTCCTACGTCACCACTCTCCCAAGGGGGGTCAAGTCACTCCGCTACCTGGATCCCAGGAGCTAGAAGCCTCTTGCTGATGCAGGAGAAACTAGGAACCGTAAGTTGATGGTATGAAGGATCTGTTAAGCCTGCTTAGGAAAGATTGAGTTACACACAGCAGACTTTAGCTAAAGGAGTGCTCACCAAACTGTAGGAAAGCAATGCTTGTTAGTTTAGGGTTGCTGAGTGTTTCTGTTAAGATTTGTTCACTAAGAATGCCACCTGTAGAGCCATAACAAAAGGAAACAGCCAGGCTCACAGCTAGCCCTCAGAAACACTTCCATATCAAAGAACATGCCTCTGTTGGACCGTCCAAAGGACAGCGCTGGGTCACAGCACCACTGAACTGGCTCTCATTAAGTCCACGTCCTCTTGTGCAGAAGAGAGATTTTCTGCTGAGCAGGCAGGATGGCCCTGGTTAACAGCCTAGCAGCTGTCTCAGGGTAACTGACAATGGCTATATTGTAAATCTCCCCATTCATCCGAACAGCCAAACTTTGGGACTGAACTGCAACTGGGGGCCCTGAAACTACTGAAACCAATGGGTGATGGAGGAAGGACATTGGTTAATTATAATAAAGAAACTGCCTTGGCCCATTTTATTGGTTAGAACATAGGTGGATGGAGTAAACAGAAGAGGATCCTGGGAAAAAGAAGCTGAGTTGAGGAGTCACCATGGTTCTCCCACTTCAGGCAGACGCAGGTTAAGATCATTCCTGGTAAGCCAGCTCGTGGACACAGAATATTAGAAATGGGTTAGAACAATATGTAAGAGCTAGCCAATAAGAGGCTACAGATAACGGGCCAGGCAGTGTTTAAAAAAAATACAGTTTCTTGGCCTCATAGCTTAGAACATAGATGGGAGGAGTAAACAGAATAGAATTCTGGGCGGAAGAGGAAGTGAGGTCAGACTCTGCTCTGCTCCCGGGGAGACCCGACAGCTCTGCTCTCTGGAGCAGAGACGCCATGCTCAGCTCTCCCAGGCAACTCCAACCCAGGATGGACATAGGCTAGAATCTTCCCGGTAAGCGCACCTTGGGGTGCTTACACACATCATTAGAATGGGCTAGTCCAGGTGCGAGAATTAGCCTGTAAGGGCTAGAGTTCATGGGCCAAGCAGTTCTTAAATGAATACAGTTTATGTGTTGTTATTTCGGGCATAAGCTAGCCAAGCGGCCGGGGTGTTGGGGACGCAGCCCCGCCGCTTATTTCAACAAATGGGGATTTCTGTCCAGAGCTGGTTCCCTTTGGGGCAGTAGCTAGAACCAGTCCCATGCTATTCCTAGTTTCCTTTATTAGTCTCTAATTGCTGGAGTGACTTCTCACTGGGAAGGTATGTTGAGTCCATAATACACTGTGTTCATGTATGTCCGGTGCTGTAATCTAGAGAGAATTCAAGCATGCAGAGGACCTGTGCAGTTACATGTAAACGCTATTTCCTTTGAGCCAAGGTCCTGAAGCATCATCAGATTGTGGTGCCCATGGGGCTCCCAGGGCTGATCTCACACAGACACCAGGGGATAACTGCTGGGTAACCATGGACCACACAGCTGCCAGAGCCACGGCTGTCCAGCACTGAGTGTTGAAACTGCATATACCACTCTCCTGGAAACACATCAAAACTCAAAGCACACAGGAGGCACCATCAGTCCTAAGTCAGGGACTATGTCCAGCTCACTGTGGGTGGACAGGAGTAGAGGCTGAGGGCGTGGATCATCAGGTCTGAGGAGACACCACCAACCCTCTAGTTCTCATATATGGAGATTTTACATCACTGAGGAAAACAACAAAAACAGCTGGTCAGGGGGCTGGAGAGAGAGTCAGTGGTTAAGAGCACTTATTGCTCTTCCAAGGACTTGAAAGTCACCCACATCAGGTAACTGTAACTTCCGTCCAGACATCTGACTCTTTCTTCTGGTCTCTGTGGGCACCTGCACAAAGGTGGCATACACTCGCAGATACATACATACAAAGAAAAATAAAACCTTAGGAACTGGAGAGAAGGCTCGAGGACCCGGGTTTGAACCTCACCACCCACATAGTAGCTCATAACCATGTGTAGGTCCAGTTCCAGGGAATCTGCTGCCCTCTGGCCTCCAACAGCATCTATATGCACATGGTGCACACAAACTCATGCAGCCTCACAAATATACACATAATGAACTAAAGAACAAATGTTAAGAAAAACTGTTGAGAACTTTATGTTCTCAGTTTTTTCTTTCCACTTTTTAAAACCTACTACAACTGGCTTTTGTACCCACCACAAAATTGAAATGGCTCATGATGAGTGACCCACACTCATCATGCCGAGTCCATAACCCATCCTCACCCACTAAGCCATCAGCAGATAAGAGCAAAATCCTTCGGGTGCTCTGCAGGCAGTGGGCACATTGATGTGTGCCCTGATGTTTAATCAGTGACAGTCATAGGTGTCAACTTCTGCTCATCCTGTCTACAAGGGACAAGGCAGTGACACCTTCTGAAGGAAACAGTGATGCTTTTATTGGTACATTTCAATTCACAGGGTAAGTTACAAAGGTTTAAGTTCAGAGCTCCTCCTTCCTTGGTTCAAACAAACAAAAACCCACCATGTACACAGTAAGAAGAGTAACTCTCAGCAGAGGGGCTGAGTCTGAAAGCTTGGAAGCCTAAGGATGCCTGTTGGTCTTCTGCTGGCGCCATGGATCACTGTGCTCTGAGTCTGCACCAGTGTTCTGAGTCCTGCTGAGGGGCATCACTACAGTCATAGCAAGAGCTCTGCGCTGCTGACAAGTCTGCATACTGGACCACAGGACCTCACACAGAATGACAGTGTATTCCTGCTATGGTTTCTGCTTACTGAACCATGGTTTCACTATGTGCTCCATGATGGCCTTGAACTCCTGAGTCTCCTGCCTCCCCCTACCCCCATGGGATCATGCCTGGTGATGTTTCAAGCGGAGATGCTGTTGTTTATCACGTATTCGCCCAAGTTCCGTCAGTATGACAGAAGCTTCCAAACACTGGTCTCCTGCCATTACCTCCAAGCGTGGGGTTCTGCACATGTTTTGAAGACATAATTGAGGACAGGAAGAATTTCAATCTTCTGGATCTGAGGCCCAGCTAGAAATGCCGCAAGGGATGTCGTGGGCAAAGCGCATATTCAACATAAAAGCACACAGGGCCTACAGATGATGGAATGTCACCTAAAATAATTCCACACAAGTCCCAGCATCTCACCCATTTTCATCCAGGCACAGCATCAATACCACAATGTTAAGCGCCGCATCCCTCCATTCTGCACTCGATGCCATGACCTATGGATTCCCAAGTGCCAGCTGTAAAACCCTTATAAGTGGTTGGTTTTATAAGACCAAATTAAACACAGTAAGTTTCAATGCTCACCCATATTGTAGGGGTTTGTGTAAATTATCTCCACACCAAAAAAGGCATTCCCTATAATGTATACATTCATTACACAGGCCAAAAATGAGTTTCTAACACCATTTCCAAAAACCATATAACACACAAATGTTGCTTATATTTTAACCACTATTCGACAAACACTTGATTTTATCAGCAGTGCTCCTGGGATGAAATTGGGTTACATAGAAAAGTATATGAAAACCAGCTATAAGCAGTTACAACATGGATGTACCAAGAAATCACTCCTTAGCCACAATTTTTACCTTAGAAATCAAGACAACCCATTATGTATCCCAATTTAGAAATGAAACCCTCCCACAGAATTAGACAAAAACCACACAAAGGAAGCAGCATCAGACATGGTTAAACCCACGACATAGCTGGGCAGGCTATTACCACGTGAAAAGGAGTAACCTGGACCTTTAATATGGTAAGGCTCCCCATTACCTCGTCCTGACAAAGACTCTATTAAAGTCATATCAACAACATTGCTCAGACACACAGCGCACAGTACACACATGGTTCTAGGGGGACCATAGGGAAAGGCAGCGTGCACACACATGCCCCCACATAGAGCTATATGGTGTGACACACACATCTACTGCTAATACCACCTGCACTCACAGTTCACAGTTAGAAAATAACACTTTTCTGTTGTCTTTCTGATGAACATTATTATATATTTTCCTTTGAGATAGGTTTTAACTATATATCCCTGGCTGGCCCGAAACTCACAATATAGCCCAGACAAACTCCCAAAGATCCACCTGTCTCCACCTCCCGAGTGCTGGGACTAAAGGCGTGAGCCACCATGCCCAGCATGATGAACATCTGAAAGCCAATACTATAATCACCTATAAGAGGAAACCAACTCCTTATAGGAGCTGGCCAGTCACATTCTAAGTGCTAGGGAAGCCTTCTGTTCTGTTCTGTTCTCAGGCTTCGTGACTACGTGCCCTGGGCCACCCATGTGGTCCCTGAGGTTTTTCTCACAGACTGAAAGTCGGCCTCGTGAAAGATGGTAACACACTAGGTACTCAGGAAGAGACAATATGCAGGTGAACTACATGTGTTTTCCAAATGCCAGAATACTGCAGGTTACTGTGGCTTGGCCCAGCTTCTCCAGAGCTTCCAGATTCAGGCTTGGCAAGATAAGGCCTCTTTCCGTAGGGAGCGGTTGAGAAGGTTTGCTCCCCACACCCAGAGCCACTCAGGCATATACTGTGCGAAAAGAAACTACAAATGAAAGAGAGAGACATGGTTAGAATCCTAAACCATCAAAGCTGAAGAAATAAGGGTACAGATCAGTGTGGGATCTAGCCCTGTTAACAGACATCTAGTGACCGCATTAAACAGACTCTGAGCCCCCTTCCATACTGAGGTTTGCTTCTGCATAGGGTAGTCACTGCGATTCAGTCAAGGCAGCACAAAGACAAGATGCCCCATCATGATGCCCACCATCAGTGCCCACTCCCTTTCTGCATGCTTCTGGGAACATATGTCTTAAGTAAATCATTCTAAATCCAAGAGAAGCTAAAGCTGTACCACCCTGAACAGGATTTCATCTACATCCAAGGAGATGAAAGGAGTCTTACGGGGGTCCCTTGGGAGGACCTGGGAATGGCTCACAGCACAAATAATTCATCCACTGCTGTCTTGACCATGCTGTACTTCTCTATTGGCTCTGGCTGGGACTTTTCCCTTGTAGTTATTGATTCCTCTGAATGCAATTTCCCAGGGTCACAAAGGGCTCAGTTTTATGAAGATTTCAACTCTGCCCTTCAATCCAAGTTCTCCCCGTGGCAGAACTGAGCTGCTGGGAATTGGGCGCACTGGCGACACTGAGGAAGGGTCTTGTCTGTCTCCACCTGGCTTCCCTCAGTCATCCTCATCTAGGCTAGACCTCTTTCCTCCTTTGTCCTGCCATGCTGAGACTCTCGCCTGGTTCTTCTCCTTACATGCTCTCTCTATGGCGTTACCATACGCTGCCACCTGCAAACCTGTCTCCAATACAAGTTCCTCACCTGGACGCCCACCTGTGTAGCTGCCACCTCAGCTTCTCTGCAGAAGTCCCCAGGACCCTGGTCCCACTAGCTTCCATCATGCCTGATGACCTCTTCTCTAGCAGCCACCCATCTGGACCAGAGTGGCACCAACGCTTCCTCCCCTCCTGCTCCATCTATCACTGTGTTACACATCTCCAGGCAGGACACACCGTTAACGTGATGTTCACCGCTTGAGCAGAGATCCACCATTGCATGTCTGCTATCCACTTCCTCCTCCCAGCAACAAACAAATGCAGAACACCGGTCTCACTAAACACCCACAGGAGGCCAACTGGGGTGAGACACTGTACCATTCGTATGACAAATCCCCAATCTGTTCCTTAGAGCTAAAGAATGACAGGGAGCTGAAATCTTCATAAAACTGAGCCTTTTGTGACCCTGGGAAATTGCATTCAGAGGAAGCAATAACTACAAGGGAAAAGTCCCAGCCAGAGCCAACAGAGAAGTACAGCATGGTCAAGACAGCAGTGGATGAATTATCTGTGCTGTAAAACAGAAAAGGGCTGGAGAGATGGTCCAGTGGTTAAGAGAGCTGGCTGCTCTTCAAGAAGACTGGAGTTTAGTTCCCAGCAAACATCAGACAGCTCCCAACTACCCAGAACTCCAGCTCCAGGGGATCTGACACTCTCTTATGACCTCTGTGGGCACTGCAATCATGTGCACATACCCAGAGAAACATATGTAAACACATAAAATTAAAATTTCAAAATGCTTTAAAAGGGCATCACCCTAAAAATTAGTGGGGGGAAAGACAAAAGAAACAGACTGGCAAGGTTGAAAACTTAAAAGTTTTAACAGCTCTGTACAGAAAACTACTCTGGGCACTAAATAGCTTCATAGACTCTCTTGGCAGAAAATACATTAAAGTACATTTAAAAATACATAGAATTTAGGGCCCCATGCTTGCTAAGCAAGCACTCAAGCACTGAGCAACATCCCTAGTTCGTTCGCGCTCTCGCTCTCTCTCTCTCTCTCTCTCTCTCTCTCTCTCTCTCTTAAACTTTTTCTATTTTGGGACAAGGTCTTGATAAGTTGCCCAGGCTGGCCTTGAACTCGCTCTACATTTAAGGCAGGCTTTGCAATCCTTCTGCTGCAGCCTCCAAAGCAGCCGGGATTATAAGCCTCCACTTAGGTGAAGAATACATTCTAGAGTTCATTAACGTGGACCAAATCCACCTGCCATTAAGATGTTGGTGTTTCAGACATGGCCAAAATATTTCGTCATGATTTGTCCTCGTGGCTGCATCTCCAAGACAACTTTAAGGCCTTGGAGCCACTCTTCACTTTCTGTTTTTGTTTCAAGAAAGAAAAGGTCTCACTACATAGGCTGGGCTGACCCTAAGTTGAGATCCTCCTGCCTACTGAAGAGATGGCTGGGCTACCATTTCTAGCCTTAAACTACTTTTCAGGTTTCTTTGCTCAGTTCTTGAGAAATACAGACTCAGAAAGAGCTACCAAGACAGCATTTTAGACAAACCTATAGTTCTGAGCCTTTGGACGAATATAAGAATTACCTGTTGATTTGCTCACATTTATTTTGTCATAGTAAATTATCTTGATGTGCAATAGCCCCCGAAGCATTTAACTCATAATCAAAAATGCTCAGTAAAATCTAAATCTAGTAACATCTATTTCTAATCCAGGTAATAAGAAACAAATTACTATAAATCTTTAGTTACTGCCCCCTGTGATTAAAATCATAACTTTAAATATTTCATAAAGTTCAAATTTTTTTCTTTTTTTGGTTTTTCAAGACAGAGCTTCTCTGTGTAACAGCTCTGGCTGTTCTAGAACTCACTTTGTAGACCAGGCTGGCTTTGAACTCACCTGCCTCTGCCTCCTAAGTGCTGGGATTAAAGGCATGAGCCACCACACCTGACGGAAGCTCAAATATAATTCAAAATATTTTTAATTACACTGATGTGTGTGTGTGCGTGCGCGCGCGCGCGCGCGCGCACCGTGGTGTGTGTAGAGCTCTGAGGACACCTTGTGGGAGGCAGAGCTCTTCCACCACGTGGGTCTCAGAGATCAAACTTAGGTCATCAGACCTGGTGGCAAGCACCTTAACCTGCTGAACCATCTGGCTGACCCCTAAATACTCTTAAGATATTTGTTTTGTCCAGGCAGTGGTGGTATACGCAGAGGCAGGTGGGTCTCTGTGAGTCCGAGGTCAGCCTGGTCTACAAGAGCTAATTCTAGGGCAGCTAGGGCTGTTACACAGAGAAACCCTGTTTCTAAAAATTAAAAAGATCTTTATTTTGTCTCAACAACAACAACAAAAAGTCTTAGGAATCAGTCTATGTTTCCTGAGTAAACAAATCCAGGAATACATGGAGATTTACTTGACATGATGGTGATACACTTACGGCCCTATCTTAGGGCTTCCTGAACTGGACTGTGCACATAGCACTTCCCCTTCGGGCATCACCAATATCTCTGCACTGAAATCCCTATTCAAGCACCAAGTAGCTTCACATTCCCCCATGCACCAAAGTAGCCTATATCATGTTTTGGGGGAAAATGAGAGAACTTGAAAATCGTTACAGTAATCCCCACACATGAGCATCTACAGCTGTAAGCGCAATCACTGAGAATGTGAGGTGTGAGCTAGGATTCCCAACCCTCGGTCCCTGGCATGGCTGACAGAGCGTTTGACCTGAAGGCATGAGGCTACCTGAATAGAGTGGGACCAGTAGCCTGTGGTCCTTTTCGAAATGCCCAGGGTCGACACCGCGTGCTGAGCATACACTCTCGGCGAAGGTGCCAGCCACGGGCATCTGTGCAGGAAGCCACCAGGCGCAGTCACACTGGTGGTCACGTGGAAGGGGATCAGACTCTGCACGAAGATCCCTTTAGAGGCGTACTCATACTGCAGGGCTCGGCTGAAGTGGTCCAGGTAGGCCTAAAGGGAGAGGGGGGCAGAAGGGGAGGACTTTGAATCTAGAAGGACCTTGAAAGAAAACCCAGGAGCAAAAGACTTGCCTATTCCCATCTCAGGGAAAATGGCCAGCATAAGCAAAAGGAGCTGACTCCTCCCTGACCATCCCACAGGAAGAAGAGCCTGACCTTGGATGCAGAAAAGGCCGCCAGCTGTGGTGTGGGCTTGCAGCATGAGCCAGAAGACACTGTGACGATGGCGCCCTTCCTTCTCTCCACCATTCCCGGAAGCACTATGTGGACCATCAAGCTTGCAGCCGCAATGTTCACATTCACAATGTCCCAGAGCGTGTCCTCAGGAATCTGGGTGAAATACTGGGGGTAGGGGTAGAACGCACCCACGTCATTCACCAGGATGCCAATGTCTCTGTCTCTCAGGGCTTCTCGGATTGGAGCATAAATCTCCCGGCCTCTGCTGAAGTCCGCCACTATGACAACTGTCTCCACCCTATAGGTATCAGCTATGTGCTTGGCCACAGCCTGCAGCTTCTCTTCTTCCTGGTCAATCAGGATCATGTTGAGTCCCCGGCTTGCTAACTCCTCAGCATAGGCCTTTCCAATGCCATCTGTGGCCCCTGTAAGGCAAGCCAGGAGGCATGAGTGTGTTGAAGCATGGTATCCTTACAGAGAACCAGACTGCTCACGGTTGATCTCATCAGAGAAAATCACACACTAGGGGGAAAATGCATAACATCTGTCAGTAAAGGACTATGCTAAATTGATAAGGTGAGCTATAATGCTAAAGATACTCAGGCAGGAACTAGCCAGAGGCTCAGTGCTTGCTCCTAAGCCTGATGACCTGAGTTCAAACTCCAGGACCCACATGGTGGAAGGAGAGAACTGACTTCCAAAAGTTATTCCCAGGCCTTTAGACGTACACATGGCACACACATGTGTGCATGCACACAACACACACACACACGAACGCATGCACTCATGCATGCACTCCAAGCTACCCTGGCAGACAGACCAGGAACTGCTCATACTCAGCCCGCTGGAGTAGGATACTGTGGAATCTGCTTCCAATCTCACCCCTGGCTTGCTTAGGTGTCAGGATGAGACACAGAAATACATCACAATGCAATTCCAAACAGATAAAGCATTTCTGAGAGCTTTGACAACCCCAAAGGACAATTTCAAAACAGACAGCAGAAAAGACATGTGAGAGGCAGGAATGGGGGGCTGGGGAGTAGGAGCTGGAGTAATGAGGGGGATGCCTTGGAGGATAGGGCTCCCTGAAGTGAAGTGGGAAGAAGGGAAGAGCACAGAATGAGGTCTCAGCAGGAGGCAGAAGCCTCCACTTAAATTCTGTAGCTGCCTGCTGGAAACACTGACTTAAAATACAACCCAAAGAGAAAGACCACTGGAGCTAAGATCAAGTTACCACTGATGACAGCCCATCTTCCATACTGCTTGATGAGGTCGGGCCTGCTCCCCAGGCGAGGGATGAAGTGCAGCCTGATCAGGCTGTAGAAGTCACAGATGACCGTGATGCTCTTTCTGGCTGTGTACCAGGCTCCCACCAAGGCCAGGGCTTCCATATAGCAATTGCAAGACCTGGCGATCTCCCTGTACAAGAGGTAGAAGCTGTCAACAGCAGCCATGGCAACCTGCAGGGAAAAGAGGAGAGAGCTGCATTTTGTGGACTTCCTCAGGAGCAACAAAACTCCTGGGGGCGCACAACCTGAGACTGTCACCACCGCATGACCTCGTGTCTAACACCTGTGGCTTAGGAAGTGCTGGCCTTCCAAGAGATTATTCAACAGAACTACTCGGCTATGAAATTCCTCCCAAAATCCCGACTTGGAGCTAGCTACAAGCAGTCTGAACAAAGAGAAACATGAGTGCCCTACTTCAGAGCTGCAGAAGGCACGATTATCACTGATGGCAGCTGGAAAGTGTCCAGCTCCCCAGTAAGTACAGAGGACCTACTACCTCAACAGTGACAAGTAGAATAAACACAAGTAGTGACAGAATGTGACCTTGGTCCCCGAAAACATGAATATTAAATAAAAGGAGCACCCCTAAAACACGAGATGATGATGCCCTCCTGCAACAGCAGAGCAACACCCCCACACACACAGACACACATACAGCCTGTTACTAACTTGGTTTGCCTGGTATTTTCCCTCCTGGCCTCTAGGTTTGAGAAAGTCGCACACACCTCTTCTAGGTGTGTACATAGCAAACACTAAAGGGCAGACACGTCCCAAGTATTGTGTTAAGGATCCAAGGCAGAGGCAGGCATTTAACAATTAAAATGCAAGCTCAACTGGATATCTTAACCTACGAGCAAAGGGGACCCTGGAGAGGTAGACAGAGGCCAGGCACAGTCTTGATGGCATGACCAAGGGCTGTGCTCCATCCTGGACCAGGGCAGAGGAACCGCTGCTGTCAGATCCAGTGCACACTGGGTGGCCAGAGGAGCCTGAAGGCTCACATGCATAGTAAGACAGTGGAGGCTATGCACAGGCAACTCGATTTTAAGTACCACCCCCTCTCCCTCAGAAAAGAAAACATAAAGCTTGTGAGAATGACTTCTGGAAGGAAATCCATTTAAAGTGAGAGGTGGGGAGTCCTGGAAACAGTCAACACAGCGGCAAAAATGGCACAAGTCTTGGGGATGGAGTGGGTGCCCTCTGTGTCTCCTGTGATATAATTTGCGATCTATCAAGTTTTGCCTAGGGAAAATGAAACAAGCTAACCACCAAGCAGGAACCTGTGAGCACATGGCCTCCCAAGGCACAGGGAAGCATGAAGAGAAAACTGAGCAGCAGTCAGACAGAAGACATGCAAGCTGCGGAGGCCCTGACTACACAGTGCACTCTCCCCAGTACGTTCCACATTTCCACCATGTGGGAGAAATCAAGCTGACGTCACAGTATGTTTTGAAAGCTATTCTCAACCTGTATAGTGGTGTGGACACGTAATTTGGGAGGCTGAGGACGGAGGAGTCCCAGTTTGAGGCCAAAAAGCTGGGCTATTTAAATAGTAAGACCTTGCTCCAAAAATAAAAAATAAAAAAATAAAAAACAAGAAAAAAATCAGACCCCAGCCGAACTGGTGGTATATGCCTTTAATCCCAACATTGGGGAGGCAGAGGTAGGTGGCTCTCTGTGAGTTCAAAGCCAGCCTGGTTTACATAGTAAGTTCTAGACCAGCCAGGGATTCACAGAGACTGCTTTAAAAAAAAAAAATCAACTACTGGAGAGGCTAAAGTGGGAAGATCGAAGTTCAAAGCCAGCCTGGAACTTAATGAAAAAATATCTAAGGATGGGGAGGGGGTAAAAGTGTTACTCAGCCGCTTATTCAACATGAAGTCCTGACTACAAGCACCAGCACCGCAAAGAAAGGGAGGAAGAAAAGAAAGAGGGAGAGAAAACGGAGGGGAGGGGGAAGAAGAGATGGAGCTACTGCCCCTCTGCCCCAGCTTTCCCAAGACTCTGAACACCAGTACAGCAAATCCAGCAGAAGGTGCCTGACCTCGGGGTTCTGCTCTCCTCACTGTCAGCCCCAGTCTTCTTTCTCTCAGCTTCTTGCTGCCAGCTCTGCCCTGAGAGGCAGCTGCGAAGGGGAAAGGAAGCCAACAACAAACAAACAAAACCCAGGCTCAGCTGGGAACACTTTATGCAAAACTAAGACCAATGCTTTCAAAACAAAGCACAACTAAAAAGTGTGTGCCTGGGGACAGTCCCCTGGCCTTGCAGGCAGTGGAGAAAGCATTCCTTCCTCGTCCTCTTAGGGACACAGCATCAGATAGGACAAAATTCCATCCAGGTGAGCTGGGGGATCAACAGCGATCTATACCGCCTAAGAGCACCTGGCTATGGTCTCTACACCTGCCTGTGGAAGGGTCACCCTCTCTCTCCAGACCCTTCCTCAGCCACCCCCCCCCCAACATCTGCTTCAATTTTCCACACCACAACAACCAGCTTGTGTAGCCCATGCCCAAAGCCTGGTTGATTCTGGCTGGCCTGCTTGAACCCAGGTGCCCAACACTTTCTCACCGCTGGCAGAAGTAGCAGGAACGCGAGGGGCTTAAAGGAGGGGGATGATTTGGGAGGCTTGGTAGGATTTTCCATTTCCCCCTGGAGACCCTTCCCCAGCTTGCCACTGTCATGAACTGCTGAGACCATGGCCCCACCAACTGTGAGGTGTTCCTTAGAAACAGGCACTGACAGCCCTGGTGTGCTGAGTCTTGACATAAGAAACACCATGCAATCATTCCTCCCAGCCAGACCAAAGTGAGACCTGATGCACACACACCAAACTCAAAGAAGCCTGATGTAGTCAAACACCAGATAGTTTATGAATAAAGTACAAAGCCATCAAAAAACCTACACTGGTAGTTACTGGCCCATGGGGGGAAAGGGGCGGGTCTCATACAGGAAAGTGTACATGGAAAACAAAGCCATTCAAATAGGGCTGAAAACGGCAACTCAATGCCCCAGATCAAAGATAACTTCAGAAATAAATCTAGGAGTCCCCTGGGCCCATACTCCTGGAGACGCACAGAAAGCTAACTGACCATCAGTGAGGCAGGGCATCTGCTGGTCTGCTGAGGGAGGAGGCGAAAACAGAACATACATAGGACACTTCTAATAGATGAGTAAGATCCCTAGGACAGAAAGAACGGCTGTCTAGCCAGTCCCCGCTTCCACTCCAGCCACAGTCCCGGGGCATGACTGGACATCCCCACGTGTCCTTAGACAGAGCAGGAAAGTTAGAGACGGTGAGTAACATGACCACAGTCTCCACGCGGGTCACAGTCAAGGCCCGTGAAGGACTCTGGGAGGTAGCAAGGGCAAGGACAATCTTCTCTGGGGTCTCCAGAAGGACCCTTCTGGGGACTGTGACTTCGGTGTGGTGAGGTGGACTTTAGTCTCTCCCTGCAGAACTAGTAATAACCATGTCACAGAAGGAAGTATGGTGGACACAGGGACAGATGCCAGGAAGAAGGGATGGGCAGGCAGACAATGCACTGTCAGTCTGGAAGACACTGTGACAGGCCCTCAGCCATAAGCAAAGTGCTATCAGGATGAAAGTCCTTTGCTCTTGGACTGAAGGGTGACCCTGCAGGCTGGGAAGGACTGACAAGGTCTCCTTACCCTCTGCAGCCAGAGGCTGCGCTTTTCGTCTGGCTCTGGTGTGTCCACTGAGTCTGCCTTGGACACAGAACCCCAAGTCCTGTTTAGCTTTCTAGGCCAGCTTGTATCCACTCTCCATCCTTGGTTCAAATCCCCAGCCATCAGGAAATTGAGGAGCAACCTCCTCCAGCCTGAGGACCCCTCCTCTCCTGCTGCTCTGTCTCTAACACAATATTTATTTCACTTGTCTCTGACTCTGCAACTGGAGCTCAGGCCTCCAGAGGTCAGGAGCCATGTCCTAAACCAACTCCTCCATAATTAGAAAGGGGGGAGGGCTGGGCATGGTGGCACATTCATTTAATCTCAGAATTCAAGAGGCAGAGGCAAGTGGATATCAATGAGTTCAAGGGCATCCTGGTTCACAAATGAGAACATGTCTCAAAAAAAAATTTGGAGAAGAAACTAGAAAACACATTCCAAAGTATAAAACCTACTATGCACAGTCTGAAGGAAAACAAAACACCTACTCAGTGACTAGCCCAACAAAAGCAGCATCCAATAAACTCCAAGATACCCAGGCTTCCTTCTTGTCCCCTCTTCTACACTGAAGGGCACATCCTCCCAAAAGCTGAGGTTTCTTCCTCTTTTCTTTTCCTTTCTTTCTTTCTTTCTTTCTTTCTTTCTTTCTTTCTTTCTTTCTTTCTTTCTTTCTTTCTTTCTTTCTCTTTATTTTTGAGGCGCAGGCTGCTCTGATCTTGCCCCAGCATCATGAGTGCTGGCATCACAGCTTATACCCCAAACCTGCTACTCTGGCTGCCAGCTTTCTGTTCCGAAACACTTCCCGGCGCTGCTGAGTGCCGCCTGTCTGAGTGGCTCCTGAGGAGTGCCCCAGTGTCCCGAACTGACCTGCATCCTCCACCTCTGAGACTCTTCTACTGGCTGAGGTCACAGCTTTGCTGTGGGTCATGACACGCCCACATACAATTCCTGTCCATGCTACCACCAGCCCGGGGGTCACCCCTCAAATTCTTAGGAACATCTCTTGGGCATTGGTGCAGGCATTCACAAAGGGGCATGCCACGCAGTGGAACTGCTGGGCCACAAGGCCCCGGAGGGTTCCACTCTCCCTTGCCGAGAGACAGGCCTGACTCACCCGTCTCACAGGTGGGTGTGCACACTGCCTCCCTGTGCCACCTGCGGAAACGCCCAAGAGTTCACCCTCCAACAACAGGGTGTGTAGGGGTGGTTAGCAAGGGGCCAAGGCTCTTGTGAACCATATGTGCTCCGGCCGCCTCTCAATCTCCAAAATGCCCGTTCCCGTCGGCCCCTCTTCCTATGTTGTCTCTTTTTCTCAGAAAGACAAGAAGAAAGTCAGAGAGAGACACACACTCTCTCTGCTATTTCTTGCTCGCATTGTTGATGCCCTGGATGTCTTCCTTTCCAAGCCCCTTCCTTGGCCAGCAGTGTTCACGGCATTTGACTTCCCGCCGCAACTCCGGCAGAAGTCTCCTCACAGTATTTTCTAGAAGCTGTTCTGATTTAAGTCTGTGATCCTGGATTTTGTAATGGTAAAAACCTGTTTTCACGCATCCTCTATAGGGCTCTACAGCACCACAATGCTGTGCATACAATATTGCCTTAGCAAATACAATATTGCCTTAGTAAACACAATATTGTCTTAGTAAATCCTTTTAGATACTGTTTGGGCCAGAGCTCAAGTTTCACTCTTGAAGAAGAAAAAAAAAAATCCCAAAAACTTCGCATCAGCATCTGGCAAATGTACAGATCAGTGACATTTTGGGAGTTTCTTATCTTCTTTGGTCTGTTCTTGATCACTGACTGAACCAGCAGTGAGGTTCAGTAACAGTAACAGGGAACCCAGAACCCGGGACTCTTACCCGAGATCCAGGTCTCTACTTAGGCACCAGGTTTAAGGCAACAGCAGTCCACTCCTAGGCACTTATCCAAAATAACTTTTTTTTTTTTTGCTTGCACTAAAATTCTGTAAAGAGGGTTCCTACCAGCCTGACTCACACTAGCCAAAAACGGAAACTGCTGAAATGCCCATCGAGTAATGATCACAGTGGGGCCCAACCATAATACAGTGGAATGACTGAGCTCTAAAGAGGACGGGGGCATGAGTACACGCTATGCCATGAAAACGTGAGGCCGAGGGCCAGAAGCCAGACCCGATACATGTATAAAACATGTTTGCAATTGGGAACTCCACAGACACAGAAACAGATCAGGAACCCAATCTGGGGCCAAGATGGGCTCAAACTGCAGCTGATGGGGTGGAATTTCTTTTGGGGGTGATGGGAATTATCTGGGACTAGGGATGACAACTGCCCAGCACTGTAAATATGCTACAAAGCGCTAAGTTGCACGTTTCAAAATGGCTAAAATGATTAATTTTGATAGGCAAATTTTGCCTCAAAAAAAAAAATCCACTGGGAACTGGGAGTTGGCTCAGCAGGTTGTTTGCCCGGCAAGCCTGATGACCTCAACCTGCGCTGAGATCCCCAGCTGCACGCAAGAGCAGAAAACTGTAGAACCAATTTGTAACCCCAATACTGGGAAGGAAAAAACAAACAAGAGAGTCATGGGGGCCAGCCAGTCTAGCCTAAAGGAAACGCTGGGTGTAGTGAAAGACATTTTCTCAAAAAATAAGGCCTATAGTAATAGGCACTGACCTGTGGCTTCCACACCCACACATGAGTGAGCAACACACACTCCACTAATAAAGTACCGTTGAACTCTGCGCTTCTGAAATATTCTCGAAATGACTAGGGTCACCGAAAAAGAGATCCTGCCCTTGGAGATTAAGTTACACCACAACACCTGTCCTCTGGCCATCACCTGTGAAAGGGGCTAACCCTTCCCGGCTGCAATGAGAATTAGAGGAGGTGATGAATAAAAAGCACTTACAACACAGCCTTTCGCAACCGCTCAATAAACCGTAGCCATTAGCCAGGATTATAACTCCGGGTTCGATGTTAGCTACCGCTATTTGTACTGATCCGACTTTGTGAAAATGCTTCTAAGTGCGTTATCCCTACGGCCTCGCTTTACCCCCTCCTTCGATCTCACAGGCAATACTACACAAGAGAAAAAGGACGCAGTCATATCCCAGGATGTTAGCGCTAAGACCTGAGACTCAGGTGCGGCTCAGAGCCCTGGCCAGTGGTCCGTGAGACACCCCCTATCCCCGACAGGCTCGTGGGAACCTGTATCCCCTGGGGTCACCGCCCAGGGGTGCGGCTGAGTCCTGGTAGTGGAATAGGGACTCGCCGGCTCGGTTCCCCATCCCTCCCCTGCGCCGCCGGGCGCCGCCCAGCGACTCTGCAGAACCCACCCGGCTCAGCAGGATCTGCGCGCTTTCTTCAGCAGCGCTGCCATTCGGCATCAGTTCTGAATCCTAGAACCCATTCAGACCCAGCGGCGGAGAAAGAGGATAAGGCGGCACCGACAAAAGGGCGGTCACAGGGCGTGTCGCACGCACGCGGCGAAGAGGAGGCCCGGGACACCTGCTCTGGCTGCCGAGGGACCGCCGGGAGCGCGGACAAGAGTTCCCAGCTACGGGACGCGCAGAGGGGTGTGGGGGGCGTTCCCGAGGGTCGGGGTCCCCGGGGGCGTGGCAAGGGCCGGAAGCGGGGCGCTAAAGGCACGGGCGCAATACCTGCAGCAAGCCGCACAGTCTCCGAAGCCCGTCCCGCCACCTGTCCGCGCGGCCGCCGCCCCGGACTCAGCCGCAGGTCCGCTACCCACGTGATCCGTACGCACGCACCTGGGTGGAGCCCCCACTAGTCCCGCCCCCGGTAGCGTAACCGACTGCGCGTGCGCGCTTTGGTTACCACGACGACCAGAGAAGCGTTGGACCGCCAACGACGCGGACCGTAGTGCCAGGGCGAGGAGCGAGCATGCACCCCGAGTCCTCAGAGCCGCCGGCGGATGGAGCGGCGGAACCCAGTCTGGAGGAGTCAGCGGGCGATCACGGCGACGTGGGCCCAGGGGTCCGCAAAGAAGGTGCCATCGCGTCGGGAGCTGAGGGGGCGAGGACCCGTGCTTCACACATGCCCATTCACGCAGCTGGGAGTAACCAGCACCCCTCACACATGACTATCCTTACAGCAACACGAACAGTCAGCCCACCCGCCTCACACGGGCACATCAACACAGCCCGGAATAGCCAGCACCCGTCAAACATGCCCATCCACACAGCCATGGGTCAGCCAGCACACCGCATACATTCCTGCCCATTCACTATTAATGAACGCTAGACCTTTATTAATGTAATCAATCCAGCACATATAGAACACCAACTATTTATCCCAATGAATATTAATCAGGGATCGCCGGTGGCTGGAATGTAAGGCACAGTCCCTAGGGTTCAGTGTTATTCAACAGACACCCCACACTCCCACACCACCCATACCCCCACGCCCCCCATCCCGCCAACACACACACACAGAGCTCATCAGCTCTTGAAGTTAGATTCATTCGAGGCTTCTAGGGATGCCTTATGGGGTAAAAACACAAGCCTGATAATCTGAGTTTGAACCCACAAGTGCATAAATACAGTGGTTCAAATCTGTATCCCAGCGTCCCCTAAAGTTATGTCTATGGCAGTGACTCTTTAGCTAAATATTTCTTCTGTGTAACTTGATATTCTCTGAGAAAACTTACTGGTAAATTCTCCAAATTCTCCATGGACCAGTTTATCCCTTTTACTTATTTTTTTCACTGTATCCTCCCCTTTAAAAAGAAGTGTATTTTATTTTGTGGAGTGGAGATGAAAAGGGAGAGGTGAGGGGGTGCCCAAGGAGGCCAGAAGAGGGCATCAGATACCCTGGAAGTGGAGGTAGAGGCAGTTATGAGCTGCCCTGTAGGTGCTGAGAACTGAACTCTCTGATCCTCTGGAAGAGTAGCAAGCATTCCAAGCACTCTCAATGACAAAGTCATCTCTCCACCACCCTGTACAGCAATTTTTACAACAATCTGCCTGTGTAATGGCTATGTACATGTCACTTTTAGGCTGATCCTCTATAAAAACTGCACAGGGAAACATGAAAATGTGGACAAAGCTGTGCCTTTTGTTGTTGATGTTTCTACCATCTGAAACACGTTAGCAATGCAGATGTCTTTAAGGGAGTCCTTGTAGGGCACAGTGAATTCTTCTGCCTCGAAAATAATGCACTGACAGTGTCATCCGTGGGTAGGGATCATTCTCAGAAACATAAGTGGGTATAAAAACCAAGTTTCATGAAAAGCACAGGATCCCATTCATATAAATCAAAAACATGACAGCCTACTTTTTTATTTGTTTGTTTTGGTGTCTCTCTATATAGCCCAGTCTGGCTGAACTCAAAACCCGGTGGATAGTCTCCATTCTCAGCCTTCCTGGGTGCTGGATTACAGGCTGGGATTGCCATGCCCATCCTAAATTTTTTGATCTTTACAAATTAACCCCCCCCTTTTTTTCTTTTACAGAAATTAGTGAGACCAAGGAAACGTGTGTGGATCCTTCTACAGCATCCTGCCAAAGTCAGCAGCAACAGAGTGGCGACAGCCAGAGTGGCGACAGTGGCTCAGATGGTCACTTAGCCAACTCAAGAAATGACAAGGATGATCGGGGTCCCAGGTATGTGTTGTGCAGCACAGCTCCCAAGCCACCAAGGAGGGTGCGTGGTGATAGCCCCTTAACCCCTGCACAGGGTACAGCTACGGAGCCTGCCCAGTTAGTACTAGAACAGGGTAGAACCAGCAATACCTCTTTAAGGGAATGAGGGGGATGTTACTTGTATTTATTTATGTGTGTTCATGTGTGTAGGTGGCCATGGAGGCCAAAAGGAAGTGTTGGGCTCCCTAGAGCTGGAATTCCAGGAGGTTGTGAACTGTCTGAAGTGAACTGGGAACTGGTCTCGTATCCTCTGCAAGGGCAGCAAATGCTCTTAATTGCTGAGCTATCTTACCATGTCTCCAGCCACTACTGCTTTTTTTTTTGAAGAAAAAAAAAGAAGTATTCATTTATGAGTGTGGGAGGAAGCATATGGAAACAAATGTGTGCAGTACATACCCCGGTGTGTACCCCGACACATAAATGGATGCTGAAAGACAATTTGCAGAAGTCCATTCTCTCTTTCCACTGAAGACTCCAGCAATCAGACTCAGGTCTTCAGGCTTTGATTCTGCCCACTGAGCCATCTTGCCATCCCCTCTGCCTCTGGCCCTGCGTTAAGACAGGGTCTTACTCTATTGCCCAGGCTGCCCCTCAGCCTTCTGAGTGTTGGCATTACACATGTTCACACTATGCCTGGTTCACACTAGTTTTGTTGATGACACTGCTGGAAGTATTTTTATTAGGCCAAACACGGCAGGTTTTTTAGAGCACTGAATCAACAGTATTGGGTAAAACCCTAAGAGCCATTTAAGGGAGGGGACACTGCCGAGACGGCTCAGATGAGGACGGAAATTCGAGTCCCCAGTGCCCATGCAAACACCCAGTTATCTCTGGACATCTGTAATCCCAGAACTGGGGAGGCTGAGACAGGGGAATCCGGGAGCTCACTGGCCAGCCACTCTACCCAAATCAGCTGGTTTGGTGAGAAAGCTCTGCCTCAAAATCTTTGGCAGATGTGATGGAGGGGGACACATGTTCACCTCTGGCTTCCATGTGACTCTGCACACATACCAAAGGAGAAGGGGAGGAGGAGGGAGATTTAACACAAGGTTTCAGATTTAGGACTTTAGACAGAATGGATGTTGGAAAGAACCTGAGCTGGTGCCATGGCCCACAGCTGCAATCCCAACAGGGCTGAAGCAGGAGGACCACAAGTTTGAAGATAGCCTGGGTTGCATAGCGTGTTCCCAGCTGACCTGGGCTACAGAATGAGACCCTATCTCCAAACCAGCCCAACCCAAACACGAACCTTTAAGTATGTTTCCCAACCGGCAAGCTGAAGCGAGACTCTTCCATGTGCTTTGTGTCTTCACAGGATGACTAAACAGTTCCTTCAAAAGCTCTGCAAGCAGCACAAGCTGTACATCACCCCTGCCCTGAATGACACGCTGTATTTACACTTCAAGGGTGAGTCCCAGGGGAGTCCATGACCAGTGTCAGGAGGACAAGGTAGAAAACAAGTTTTAGAGGTCATCTTTGTGCTCCAGTGTTTCTCTGAGCGGAACTCGGGCTTGACTGGGTTCATAAAGGGGCTGTGTGCACAGACAAGCCTCCCTTGCTTCTTTGGTTGCTTACTTGATTTTTCCCCCTTGCAATATAAAGGATGAAACCCAGGACCTCATACCCACTAGGCAAATACTCTGCCACTGAGATCCAACCCTCGCTAGCCCTCCTTTCCCTTTTTCTTTTGAAATAAGATTCACCAAATTGCCCAGGCTGCCCTTGAACTCACTTTGTAGCCCAGAAGGATCTTGAATTTTCATCTTCCTCCTTCGCTCAACCAAGTAGCAGGGATTACAGGCCTGCACCACCAGGCACATAACTAATTAATTTCATCTCAACATCTCTCAATGCCCCCCCCACAGAAGGTAGGATCTTGTTATATAGGTCATGCTTGCCTTGAACTTGTGGCCTTCTTGCCTCAGTCTGCTGGGAGCTGGCAGGTCAGGCTCCAGTCAACATGGCTGGCTTAGGACTGGGCAATTTTTAAAGCAGTGGGGGCAGTTGTGAACCTTGACCTTGGGACGGGTATATGATGAAGTACAGAAGATAAGAGTAGAAGGCAAGGGAGCAGGGTCTTTGGTCCCCTCAGAATGTAGAGGTACTGTGGCATCCTAGGTACTTGGGCTTAGTGTCCAGTCCCACATCTACATCTGAGCTAGTGACAGGGGAGGTGTGGGACAAGAATGGAGGGTGGACCCATGTCAGAGTTCAGGAGAGAGACGCATGAAGGCACAGAGACTAGCCCAGCAGTGAGCTAAGAAGACTTGGATGTAACCCAGTGGTAGAGGACTCAGCCATCAGGTTTGGGGCCTTGGGTTCAATCAAAAATAAGGGGAATGGCTTTGCAAAGAAAAGCTGTTACTAGCTGTACGTGCTGTCACACGCCTTTAATCCCAGCATTCGGGGGGCAGAGGCAGTCAGATCTCTGAGTTTCAGGACAGCATGGTCTACAGAGCAAACTCCAGAATAGCTAAGACTACATAGAAAGATCCAATCTCAAAAATAAATAAATAGAACTTCTTTAAAAAAAAGAAATAAAGAAAAAGAGAAAAGAGATGTGGGTATCTTAATCTCTCAAGTCCAAGATCAAGATGCCAGCAGATCCAATACTTTGTGATGGCTTCCAAAGTTCACAGAAGGAGACTTCCATCTGTGGCCTCAGTTTGTAGCCCAAGATAACCATGAAATTGTCATCCTCCTGCTGTAGCCTTAAGGGACCTGGGGTCAATGTTGTGCCACCATGCCAAGCAGTCTCTCTCTAAAAGGGCACTAATCCCATCATGTGTGCCCCACCCTCACCTCCCAAAGGCCCCTTCTGACACCATCACATGGGAGGTCATGGTCTTCTACATCAGAATTTGCAAAAACCCAAACACTCAGCCTCTGCCAATAGGCAAAACCAACAGAATCCAGGCCCTTCCCCACTGAGTGTACGGGAGCCTCACCAGCCCCCACCCACCAGGGTTTGACCGCATTGAGAACCTCGAAGAGTACACAGGCCTTCGTTGCCTCTGGCTGGAGTGCAATGGCATCCAGAGGATCGAGAACCTGCAGGCCCAGAGCGAGCTGCGCTGCCTCTTCCTGCAAGTGAACCTGT